CGAATACGCAGCACGGGGTTGAGTAATTACCCTTTCTCACGATGACGTTTTTTGGGGGAAATTTCAATCTTCTGAAATGGGTTTAAAAATTATGTTTAAAATCAAAAGCAATTTTTTTAGACAGGGGCGTAGCCAAGGGGGAGGGGGGGGCAAGAGGGGGCGGTCGCCCCCCCAATGGTCTTTAAAACCGTTCTCATGAAATGTTTAAATCCAGCGGAATATAAGGAGGGGGGATCAAGTTAGGTAAGCAACGAGTAATCAGTAAATCTAAAGAGATTTTCACGTGTATTGTTCGTTGTTCTAATGTAATAATGACAGAATTTTGCTATATGTAACCTTACGATTACTTTTAAAAGCTCGTATCAGAATGCTGGAAATGGCGTTTCTAAGCCTTAGAAATCCAAAATTTTCCCCGGGGGAGCATGCACCCGGACCTCCTTAGGTAGTTCGTGGCTTCCTCACTCACTTGTCGCCCCCCCAAATTTTCTACCCTGGCTACGCCACTGTTTTTAGAATAAACAGACCATTTGAAAAATAAATTCAGCCTAAAATTAAAGACAGTCGTCGTTACCAAATCTTACGCTCACGGTTCAGTGAAAAAAATACCCAAAAAATGGCGGCATATTCGTCATCGTGAGAAAGGCTAATTGTCAACAATTTCCCTAAAATTTACAAAAAAACACAAAGGCAATGCATACAGTGAAGAAGTGAAGAAGTGAATAGTTGAAGAACTGAATAGTTGAAGAACTAAACCACTTCAATGGACGACTTGCGCTTTATGGTCGAAGTAACTAGAAGAAAATAATAAATCATCACAGCTCGAAAGACCTTGCTTAAATTAGCGCAAATGCAAAGTTTGGCTGCGAAATTTTGAAAATATAGCCATGCGAAGTTGGCAAATTTTGTATACTTTTGTACTACGGGCGGAAATGTGTAACTAAATTAGTTACACACTTCAGGTCGTAATACAAAAGTATGCAAAAATCGAAAACTTCGCATGGCTATATTTTCCTTAATTTACAACACGCAGCTAAACTTTGCATTTCCACTAATTTAAGTAAGATCCTTTCAGAAAATGTCCTTTCTATCGCAAAGGTAAGAAATTAGTCTAAAGCGCAAGTCGTCCATTACCTAATCTTGATTTTCAGTTGACCACCAGAGAAATCTATGACGTTTCTGGAAACCTGAGAATAACAGACGAAACATGAAACTGGATTTATTGAGGACTACCGGCAAAGGACGCAGAGTGAGTGACATAGTGCAGAAGTACAAAACAAAACAAATATTTCATTCGAGTTTTCAAATTGTAACTGGATTGAAAACGTGAAAGTTTGTTTGGTGATCCTGAAAATTCAAAATTAATGCATGTTCCACATTTTTTTGACGGCAAAGTAATCTTTAACTGTTTTACTGACCTTGACGGGTTCTCTTCCTTACAATAGTCAAAATACTTCCCTATATAATATCGGTAACCTTTTTAGACACTGAAAAATATATCGTCGCGCGCGGCCTGCTGGGAAAACGTTTGTAATTATGCGGATTGCCGCTAACCTATGATGCATGGTGGTAATTGTTGGTAAGATATTCTGCCCTAAAACTTGTTCGGATACCAAAGAAATGAAGGCCGTATGCATATGTATAAGGTGTGTGGGATGTCACACTCCTCTCCGAAAAGTGTTTTTTAATATCCACTAGCCCAATCCCGAGAAACTCCGAAAATGGCCCTCGACTGAATCAGTCAGCACTAGAAAACCGATTGCGAAATTCAGGCTTTTATACATTATAAAGGATATTCTGTGCGATTGTTGCACTCCTTTGCATGCTTGTTATTTTCATAATTTCATGGCTCTTAGCTCGTTCTTTATTTCGTATGTCATACACTAAAAATAATTGCGAGAAAATAATATCCGGTATGTATATCTGCTTAGTAGATAACTGAAAGAATTTGCGATCTCTATAAGAATGTCATAATGCTATTGTTCACTTATGCCCCCGCGCTAGCAGCTGTGAAGTATGGGATGTATTTGAAGACGCGGAATCAAGCCAGAAAACGTCACAATGAAACCAGTTCAAAGTAGGTATAAATCTTAGTATGATCATTTGAGTTATCTTCAAACTTTGGCGAAACTTGCACCGGAGTCATAGATCCCATATTTGATTTACGAATTGCACTCCTTGCTCTCTTTTGATTTTTTTTGTTTTAAGTGCCCTCTAGCTTTTTGCATACGAAGTGCCTCCCACGAGTCATTTCAAGTGTTCGGCTTTGTCTACCACAACCGCATGTAAATAATACGTCAAGAAATCTCAACTGATACTGATGATGATCACAGCTTTTGTATTCTATTCCCAAACACGTCAAATTAATTACCAAGGATCTAGATCTGCAAATGGTTGTAGATAGCAGAGTTTAACTTGGCAAATGGCAACCAGCCGGAGTAATATGTTGTAATAAACGATTACACAAAACAGCTTGCAGTATGGACTAAATTATCAGCCCTCGTATATAGGAAACATAGAATGCATGGCCCCGTTGACACTGTCGAAGTTTAGACACTCGGAATTTTGCATTGGTCTGAAATACTAACCTTTGAAGGATATGACTGTATAATTAGTTGTACGGCATAACTCAGAACAAGTACGGCGTACAGCAGTGCCATGCTTCCCTATATATGAATATATCCAGCAAATCCTTGAAAACTTACACGTTCGAAATGCTTGGAAATTTTAAGTGAGGTCACAGAAACTTTGACATGCATGCAAAATAACCTTGCCTAAAAATTAATGAACATGCACAGTTGGCCCACTTAAATCGGGGATATGCATGGTATAGTGTAAGGCTAAATCGTTCTAATACTAGCAATTGTTAGTGCTGTTACATACTCGTTATATATACTGAATATTCCTTAAACTGTACTGCGAAAGGCTTGACTCTACATCTTCTTACCCAGGCTTCTTGTGAGAAAAAAGCGGACCACGATACCGATACAAAGATTATAATATTCATAACTGAACACCTTCGTTTATCACATAATTATGATGGGAAGCTTCACATGCACTGATTTATTTTAACGTACGTTTATATGTTTCTAAATTAAGAAACAGACGCATCAGTTAAGATACACTGGGTGTTTACTTTTTGTGATCTCTTTTTCCCCAATCATATATTTAGTTCGTTTTAACTAACAGCTTATTTCAACTCGCAAAGGCCTGATGGCTAGAGCTGGTCAAGATGTTTCACCTTGCATATACAGCCATTTCAGTTACAATTCCCTTTTAATTAAAGTCTGAATGATAAAGCTGAGCGCTCAAAGAATGAGCAATGCTCACTCGCAATAATATGTTTACCTATATTTTTCCCACGAGTGAAAAAAACTAACTTGATAGATAATTTCCTCAATGCCCCGATTGCTGAGTTTTCTCACGAAAATCAACTAACCGCCCACCGTCCACCAAGCTTTTAGCACTACAAATAAACGAAAAAAACTGTTAACTTAGCAAACAGCTCTCATTTGCGACGATGTATTAATTCAGTTGAGTAAAGCGTCACTGGATTGTCGTGCTTATATAGTCATAGACTATAGCGTTAAGACTATAGACTATAGCGTTAAGAATATATATCCTACAGTAAAAACGTCAGTTTTTTCGACTGTGCTGGACTGCTGGTGCTATTTATTGTGGAGTAAAAAGACAAACAACTTTGATAGATTGAAGATGTGTTGAAAATGTGAAAGATTAGATTATTGACCTATAACGCTAGGAGCATGCAGGGACAATTACACTAAATTGGAATTGGGATATTCGTGAAGGCGCAAAACTTGTGATTATATGAAATATATCTAAAAAAGCGATTATATGTATATTTATAGTTCGAATTTGAAATCATTGTCATAGCTTTAGACGTTTTTATCCAATCATCGCCGCCAGCTATGAATCAAGCATGCATGGTGAAGTCAGGAGGAAACTATAATGATATTTTAGAAACCAGTCGATCTCCGGATCAAGCTGATCTGAGATCTTGACGTGAGTGACGTCATGAGGTGCCTCAAAAAACTATTATGCCCCCGTTTTTCCTGGTACATATATATTGCTGAGTGCTGACTTCCCAGCAATTTTTCACTTTCATATTTCAAAGTTTATACTAAATCGCAAAACCGCGAACTAATTTTAAATGCTTTTTCTAGCAGCACTTATATATGAATTATTGCGTTCAACAAGGAGAATGTTTCCTCAGTCTGGATGCTATGTCGTCTTGAGATATCTGTGTGGCATTTGCCTCCATCATTCAGTGTCATTTTCTTCGTTTTTGTTGTCGGCGTCAAGGGCTAGTGTCCCTCCCCTACTTTTCTGAAAAGAAAGAATGAAAGATGAACCCCCTTTTTAGCAAAGATGCCTTTCTTTGAGTCATTAAATGAATAAATGTGTCTCTCTTAGAGCAAGTAATTAAAAGTGCCTTATCAGTGATTGTAAAAAGAAACGCCAAACAGTTCAGGAGTACGTGACCTCAACCAAGATTTGTGAGCCGTAAAATAAGTGGCTAGAGCAAGATACTGGATTTATGTTTTTCAGTGGCTCTAAAATGCTCGTTTTTCGGTGTAACCTGGATCAAACGTTGATATTCTTAAATTGGAGACTCTGGGTGCAAAACTTAACTTTGGGTGCAAAATCCATCTACTGACCCCATTGCTTTCTAGGCCTTGTTTTTCACGCGGTTAAAAATCACTATCCAGCAAGCAGCAGTGGATTGCGTTACGGTACTATATGGCTTTCGTACAAACGGGCATACCAAGCGGCCAAACTGCAGAACAGACTGTATGGGCCATATTGCGAAAGCGTCACAAAACGTACAAAAACGCGTGTTTATATTTCGAATTAGACATTTTTATTGTCAAAGTCAAAATCTCCGCTGTCGTACACAATGACGAAAAATTTGTAATTTTATAAACACTTTAATTAAATATTTTGTGCATTGTAATGAAATGTATTTCTCATTAGCGTCCACGCGTAGTTTAGACAGCGGTCGTCCTCGGCTAATTATAAATTCACCTAAATTAACCGTCGTGATCCCATGAAGCCCCCTGAATCACTGTGACACAACAATTTGAAAGCTGAGAAAGTGCCAGCGAGGGAAGCATTGTTTTGTTGGCCTAAATAGACGCGAAAGCTTTGTCTTGCCGATTTGTTAGCTTTCTCTTTCATCATCTTACCAATATTTTCACACTTGCTGGCAAAGTTTTAGCTGAGAATTCAGGTTGGGTAAGTTCAAAAATCGTTTCTTTATGATGTAAAATGTTTTGTTTCTACGAGTACACGAGTACTCCCATCTATTATATAAATATGTAGCCAAGAAAATTTTGATATCTTTGCATCCTTTTGTTGTTTAGGAAATATATTTGGCCGATTCAACAGCGGGAAAGAGACTTCAATCGCCACTTTTCTGAACTAAATACTAAGGTATTTTCTTTCAGTTGTTCGTCTCGAACTTTAAGCGAGATATTTAGGGCAAAATTGTCTTTGGGCAAAGGAAATTATTATGAAATTTTGTGGAACAACGTAATATAACCTCAGTAACAATTCATGCATTACGTTGTTCGTATATTTTGAATACTTCCTTTATATTTATCATGGGATATTTCAGCCAAATTCTCTGTTTTATATTGAAAAATACACGATAGCTTTCTGTCGAAGGAATTTTTGTCGATGTACTGATCTTTCAGCAATTTTATGCGACTTGAATTGAAATGTTCCTCGCATATTTTAATTTGATTGTTGTTTTTCTGCCGTGTGTGACGCAGTATATTTTCTTTAGCGTATTATCAAGGAAATGTTTTTAAGGAATAGAAAATATTATACACTATCGATGAAATATTTAGCTAAGCGTTCTATGATTCAGCTAGAAAGCTTTGATGTGAAATTGGGCTGTGGTATAAATTGGCCCATATCCAAGCCACATGTAGGTATATGTTCTATTTCAATGCTGTGTGGCTCTTAATATCTAAAGGTTCACTTTCCAATCTTGATGTATATATGAGATACTATTCTAAACATTTTTGTGATAGCAGACTGCCTGTGTTGAAGTACTTTGCATGGCCTTTTTTATTAGAGAGTCTAGCACTGGGCCCTGCAGCTCCTTGTTCAGACTTCACAGCTTTGACTCACTTTTCTAATCAAGGGATTTGGCTCAGATATGACAAATATCAGATAATTTTTGACTTGTGATGAATTATCTCTTGTATGTAGTAATGCTAGTCATTTTCAGATTCACTTTGGGCTAGCATTAACGTGAATATTATAAAGGAAAAATACAAAAAAAACTAGTTGAATTAATTAATACTTGACAATCTGTCTTTATCACCCAGTGTATATTTCAGGGTGAATACAGCCATGTTTTGCTCAAAGACTTGAAGGTTACCACTGTAAAGGTTTATTACTCTTCAACAGTATCGATTTAGCAACAAATGTGGTATAACAACTGCCTAAAATAGACAAAACACTTCTCGACGTTTCGACCTGAGGGCCTTTCTCAGGAGAGTTAGTGTGAAAATGAATATGGGAGAATGCATGCTTTGTATGGGGGCAAAACACATGATAAAAATGGGCCAATAGAAAACAAAAAATCAAAACAAATTGGAATACATTGTGTTGCCAAAGAGATGCCTGATTGTGAATTTCTAATGTCTGCTTAGTTATAGAAGATGGGACATTTTAGACATATTTATCTTTCTCTATTACATGTATATCTATGTGAAACACAATGCCTAAGAAAAACCAGGGTTACTACATTCTGTTTGTCCCAATATGCAGTGATTGTCCATTACTTACCACTTGTAGGTTGTATTATGTGCTACTTGGTTAGTAGGAATCGCTGATTGAAAATTTTTGTATTTATTACCATTGGCAGTACTGCAATAATTAACATTAGAATAGAATTTTTCTCACCAATTTGACACCACCCATCTATTGGGAAGTAAATGTGTTAGCCGTATGACAGAAAAAAATAATAAAGTTGGGGGAAAAGCGAATGAAAACCTTTTTATACAATATACAATGTTCTCCCTATTTATTCCTAGCTTCTTGTGCCACATACTCCCAATTGCTTCATAACATCCCATGCTTGCTTTCACAGTTCCCACTCTATCTATTAAGTCTTGCTATTTGTACAAAAACATGCAAAGAGTTAACTAAGGTACATGGATTAATTGAACTATTTTTCATTTAAATATGGGTTTGGGCTACTGCTATTACTTTTAATTTCATATAGAGAGACACATGTATATATATCTTTGCAATTTTGTTTGAGTATGTGGGGTATGCTGACTGACAATTTTGTGAATTTTTCTAATGTTTGATATATATGCTATGATAGTGGTATAAGGGTACCCTAATTGTTCATTCATTGGGTATCTTACACAAAAGATTACTTATACATTATAAATTCTTCTGTGAACTCAAAGGAATTTAAAAACTAGTGAGGCAGTAGTAGAAGCATTTGGTCAAACATTTTTCTTGAAGTATATATGCATCCATCATTCTGTCTCTAATGCTTTGTGTGGGTTCAAAATATACTGTATGTTCCTGATTAAAATCTGCTTAAGAATTCTTTATAGTTGAATATTATTATATACCCACATGTGTTTGTTAGGGAATAGCAACCAAGAGCTGTTACAAGTGAACAAAACATGCATTGTCATAATTTATTGTTTCAGGTGGTATTCGATATTTATACTAGGCTTGTATTGTCGTCACTGTAGCAGAAAAATGTACATAGACAAAAAATTTTGTATCCCGCATTCTAGAATAATCCTTGCAAGTGGGAATCTTGATAATTACATCCATAAACAGTCAGTGCTTCTTTCTTTTAAATATTTAATTAAGTGCCATGTAATAAAGAATAACTGATCACTGTATGTAGCTCTCCTAGTTCCTCCCAAGTTATGTGTACTAATAAGTAAAGATACATTATCACTGTGTGTAGCTCTCCTAGTTCCTCCCAAGTTATGTGTACTAATAAGTAAAGATACATTATCACTGTGTGTAGCTCTCCTAGTTCCTCCCAAGTTATGTATACTAATAAGTAAAGATACATTATCACTGTGTGTAGCTCTCCTAGTTCCTCCCAAGTTATGTGTACTAATAAGTAAAGATACATTATCACTGTGTGTAGCTCTCCTAGTTCCTCCCATGTTATGTATACTAATGATACATTATCACTGTGTGTAGCTCTCCTAGTTCCTCCCAAGTTATGTGTACTAATGATACATTATCACTGTATGTAGCTCTCCTAGTTCCTCCCAAGTTATGTATACTAATGATACATTATTGTGCACTATGTTGATAGCAGAATGCAATTGTCTAATATTTTGTTAATGTGTTTTATAACTCAATTTATAAATCAGGATAAGTAATGGTCTATAAAAACATCAAGCCACATTTAGGTACCATATGCTCTATTTCAATGCATTGTGGGTCTTGATATCCAAGTGTTCACTTTCTAATTGTGATGTACATATAGGATACTATTCTATTATCTCTTGTAAGTAAGGCTTGTTATTCTCATGAGATTCATGACTAAAGATGCACCGTGTGCTGTGCCATGTTGAGAATAGAATGCAGTTGTTTGAATATTTTGTTAATATGACTGTTATAACTCAATCTATAAGACAAGATAAGTAATGCATAAGTAAAGCATAGTTTTGTTGATTTATACAGCTGCAAAATTACCATTTTCAGTGATATCAAATGTTGGTATAATGTAAATGCAGTTTATAATTTTAAATTGTACACTGTGTAAATTGTTTTATCTTTTTGTGCCTGTATTTTTCATCACTGATGATGGTAATTTTGCACCTAATTTCAATCAATAATAAGAAAATCAAGTTTATGCAGTGGATATTATGTATATTATTTGTACAATATTTTGCAATATATAATATATCTGAATCCCACCATATACGATAAAATGCAATTAATAATCTTCTCTACAATTGTAATTTGTCTTAAAATATTATATAAGAAGTGTTTTTGCATCAAGCCATATATGAAAAAGTAAGATTATAGTTGTGTTTGAGTTTTAAAAATTGCTTTATATAATAAATATTTTGGTTGTGTGAAATAATAGTATAATAAATATTTTGGTTGTGTGAAATATCAAATATGATAATTAATGTGAGATTGTTAGTCAATAATATACAGGGTGTATCAAAAAAAACGCAACCACTTAATATTCATGAATATCCTCTTTGTTCTACAACACAAAAGACGTTTGGCCCCTGGAATGCGAGAAAGCTTGTAATCATGTTCTAGCGGCACAATCGTTGGTAAACAAAGTCGGGTGCGTAAACCAACGAGCTGAATTGAAAGTATTTAACGAGTAAAATTTTATTTACAATTTATCTTACAAGGTCGACAGTTAGCATTCAAGTTATCATGCACGACAATAAAAACTCGTAGCTGCGCCGTTATTAGTTTAGCTGATTTGACCATTAGCAGTTGAACTGTACGATTAGAAGCCATTTTAAAATCCCAGGGGCATAAAATCTATTGAGCTTATAAACAATATGAATTTTAGCCCTGCATGCTTGCTACATTTGCATCCAGCAATACTATGTTCACACATCTAAGGTTTGATTATTCAACTAAAGTACTGTAGTTATCTTCGTTTCTTCTCCAGCACAATGGTAAACTCTTGCAACTCGAGGTCACCTATTCTTTTGGATACACCAGAACGACCAACCGGCACGGGGGGGAATACAACAGTAATTGAAATACCTGACAGTAATGAACGAAGTCACCCGAGAAGAAGACGTCTCGAGTCTGTGGATGGTGTCATCATAGCTGATAACTCAAAGAGAGCCCGTGTTGATGTACCCGTTATTGATCTGACCACTGATAATGAAGATGAGAGCTCCTCCGTTGACAATAACGCTGACAGCCAAAGGTACAGTGTGAGAATTGGCACAGTTTATTTTCCCTTCTCGTTGAATTTCTGACGCGAAAAAAATTAGATTGGAAAATTAAATTTCTTACAACATCGAACACGTATAAAACTTGCGGATTTCAAATTATCGGAGCAAAATACCTTTGGATAGGTTTTTCTAACCTTGGGTTTCTATATGATTGTTAAACTCAAATTCGAGATATGTGAAACGTTTAATAATATATCAAATAAGTGATTTTTTTTACTGTAAAAACGGGTTACTTTTGTGCTTGCTAGCAGGGCCGTAGCTAGTCCGCCCAATTGGAGGGGGGGTATTTATATATATTTATGTTTACATTTCACAGGAACAATAGCGTACAAAAGAAACCAGTCGGGCATAAGACGGACATATATGAGTATACAATCCCCCCCCCCCAAATAAGCATCTAGTACGGTCCTCCTTGCTTGAAAATGGTGCATTTCTCGATTATGGTTACTTTTGGCACATTCGAGACTTTTCACCTGGAACTCAACATCACCAATACAATATTTTTATATTAAACAGCTAGGGCTCAAAATAACGGTCGGTCAACCGAGAATGGCCGACCAAATGTGCTTGTTCACCGTTCAATTTTTTAGCTTGCCAGGCGTTTGCTAAATTTTATTAAACGCTATGTATAAGACGATTCACTAACAATGCATGTTGTACATTTGTAGCGACACACATTCACGAGAATCTGTGCGTCTCAAAACATAGGATTTAGTTTCCGGTTTGATCATGTTGAGTCAATCATAAAGGTACAAGTCGTGGATGTAGTGACACGTCAAACGCCGATTCTGACCGTGTTAGAATGAGGCTGGTCGGTCGTTTTCTCAGGAGATATTACGGATGTTATTTTGAGCCCTGTTTTGCTAAAAAAAATCCGCTATCAAATAAGCTGTTTCCAAAATGGAATTACCTCATTTTTTCCATCACCTCCTTAATAGGCCCCCACGCGGCAATCTTAAAAATCAGTTTTTTAACTTTAGATATTTGATTTCATATGAATGCAATGACACGGAAGATTTTACCGCGTGTTTAAATGAATACTAGCCTTGACGAATTGAACTATTATTTCTTTCTAGTTTCCTTCGAACCCTCGAAAGCTCGCCATATTACGCTGAGATCATGCGTGGTCGCTTCCTCTCAGACCATAACAGATTACGTATAAGACGAGCTATGTCATTACGTCATCGTCAATCATCACACCACGCAAGTCATCCAGTGGAAGAGCGTCATAATGGTAGTTTACCTCAAGAGGCGATACTGCGAGATATAATCATTTCTTGAATAATCTTCGTGTTGATAATTCCGAGCCAACTATCCTTGTTGATGATGTAAGTAGACTGCAGTACTCAGTGTAGCTATAAGGCCTTAATATCTCCCTCCCCTTGTTTTCCCTTGGTCGAATACATTCCGGTTAACTCGAACTTTCGTTTCGAATCATAGATCAGCAAACTTTAAAATGCGAGATAACTGGAAACTATAATGGCCAATACACCGTGTAGAAATACACCGTATACATTACACAACAATTTAATCGGAATAATTGCATAAATGATTATGAATTTTAAAAGATTATCTGTGGTGCCACAAGCGTTATTGATCTAGCGTTTTCAGTTCCGTTTGTAACATCTCTTTCAGTTCCTTTCGTAACATCCCGTTCAGTATTCTTGTTGAGCTTACTCAATTATATACGCCAAAATAGTATGCGTGTACCTAAATACTGTAGTATGTCTGTATACTTAAATAAAACAGGACCGATCTGACCGTTTTTACTGTATAAAGGAAAGAACCCTAAAGGCCCGTGTATACTTTAAATTTCTTTGCAATATTTTGCGATCGTCTTCCCTTAGGAGATGTTAACGATTAAATTAGTTCCGGATGTTTAAATAAGACTTCTTATGCGTCAGAGTATTTATAACTAATTACTCGTTAACAGCTATCAAAATCGCACTTGCAAGTTAAGGCTTTGATTTTTTTTTTCTATGTTGATAGGATGATTCTTCTGGTCAGCCTGGGGTTGCTGGTGAATTTTCCCGCCCTAGCTGTAGTCGTATTAGTCCACCAAGATTAACAACAGACACTGACAATTTAGACCACATTTCCTGCCTAGAAGTGAATGGAGTCGACTATCCACTCATTCAAATCTTCATTCCCAGGTTAGCGGCATGCTTCATGTACCAGCTCTTTTAACCATCAGGAGTGAGTCCTCAGTAGACATTTCTAGTTTCTAGCTTTTCAGTTCTGAAACGTCTGTGACACGAAATTTCACCCCCTAAATATTTGTGCTTGTACTGCACAGATTACGAATTGAATGAAATCACGGGGGTGGATCCTAGCGCCGGTTGTTATAAAAAGTCGGTTATCTTAACCCTTGGTTGATGCAAATCTTAGTACAAAACAAACTTTTCAACAGCTATTTTGTAAGCTGAGTGGGTTGTTTCAAAAATCTTCCTGGTTCAGTAGTTATTGTAACCTAGCTTTAAAGGTTTTTACGACGCCCATCCAGATATACATAGACGGAAACAGAAAGTTAATATTTAAACTTATTATATGGCTTTTCAAAATTTGCAATTTTTTCTTATTGGTTGAAGAGCGGTCCGGACCGTGGTCCGTATATTTCGTTCAACCATATAACAAACCGATTATTGACCTCGCTACTGTGAAATATCAGACCGAGGCTTTTTATGAGTACAGAACTCACGCTCGGTCAAAAAATGGGCTAGGAACAAATTAACAGCTGAAGGTTTCATTTTTCGCTTGACGGGTAGCTATATGAGATAATAAAAAATTGCAAGATGTACAGTATGTACATATCTTCGTATATTATTATATTCTTTACATTTTAAAAATCATTTTGCATGTATAACTTGCATTGTTGAAACCTAGAATTCAACAACAGAAATTTTCCGAAAAAAATTGTCAAGATTATTGAAATATCCGCGTTTAACATTAACCTGTTTATCGAAACGTTCCAGGAATCTCACGAGGGACACAATGAAAGACGTCGTGACGCCAGTCACCAGATACGCGCCGTTCGACGAAATCAAAGACGACTCAGAGAACAAACAAGACAACTTAGAGAACGACTTGAACATATTTCTTCTCCTTTTACGTCTTTCTCAGATGCTGCTGAAAACTTTGATAGAAGTGTTCAGGTTTGTTTCAATGTTTCATATATTTGTCAGCATCGAATGCTGTGTAAAAATGTTACATGAAACAACTTTCAACATGAACTTGCGTTCCGTGTAACATTAACTTACATTTGACTAAAAAAAACGCATCTCGCAGTCTCCTGACGAAATCTCAACATCGAGAAGCGTGTTTTGTCATATTAAAACTTGTTTTAGTTTTGTTCAAGTTATTCTTACCAGTATTTCATATCAAAAATGCAGCTTCAATATTTAGGCACTTGAAGTCAGTTGTATCAGGTCAAGTTTTGATCTTTACCTAAAATGTTTCTGCCAGCTCAAAAAAGATAAAATGACGCCGAAACGTGATGAACAATGTGAACATTTTTCTGGGTATTTTGAAAATAATTGGGTATCTAATTGGGAAAATACAAAAAAAAACTTGGCTTAATAAGGGAATGCCAACTCGACTTCGACAGAGTTTTCTGTTTGAAAGAGTTTCTCTGCCTCACGCAACTTCAAATTGCCCAAATCCCTGTATAAAGAGGATCCGGCTATTTTTATTGCCATAGAGAGACTGAGTGAGGTTACAATTCTTGTTTCTCTAGAACGGAGCGCCTGAACGTCAAGAAACTGGAGTACATTCTAGTGTTTATACAAGGCCTAACCCAACAATTGAAACTAACCCCGTTCGTATGGTAAGTGTTTATTCCATTATAGTGCTGCAAAATAAGGCTTAACTTCATACGACCTAAGGGCTGCTTTCCACTGCCCCCTTTTTATACGCGCACGTACACGCACGTGAAAGTCAAAATCCTTATATATGTCATATTGGGAAAAGCTGCGAAAATAGGTCGAAAGAACTTAGTTTTCCGCATATTTTATTACTCGTTTGTAAACCAATTCGTTAAATAATAACAATTTGAAGGCATTTAAATTTTTCCACGCATAAAAAAAACGCTACAGTGGAAAGCAGCCTTTACGTTAATCACCAATATACCTTTCTTATAATGACGTCAAACGCGGAGAATCTGATGTTACACGAAATTTGATAGGCTCCGCAAAACGTTTGACGTCATTATGAAAAAGGTCTATATTAAAAACGCAATATTAAAACAAGATATTGTATTACGTAGTTTTAGCTACTTCTCTGTGGTATTTCATTCTTGAAGCCTTAAATAAAAATGTATTCCGTAACTGAATCGTCTGTATATAGTTGTCTTCGATGGTTCTGCTCGTAACAATAGGTAGCTACTACTTTTCGTATATCTCTGAACTAAATATTCTAAAAGTTCTTGATATTTGAGAAGATATGTTTTAGGAAATACGTTTGTTCACATTACGGACTGTACCCAACGCTTAGGCTATCGTTGTGTTTTCCGATGTTTTCTAACCTTTATTCAAATGTTTTTAGAATCTTCGAACATCACCTCCGTTGGAAAGAGAATTGAGACCATATGATATACCAGATCTCATGTTGCCTGCCTTGCTGTAAGTATTTTGCAGTCCGTAGCTTTACAATAGTGAGTTAAGCAAATGACGTTTTTGACAACACGTACGTTAACCGAAAGTTAAGTTTTTGTTTTTCAAAAATCATAATCCTTGACCCAGTCTTTTCACGTTACTCATGCCGTTTGTGTTGTCATACCTACAAAAAAGGCTTCATATTCCGCCATCTTGGCTTCAAACTTCCGACAGAGTGAACGTTCCAGTCTTATTTCAGTTCACTTGTTAAGACGCGTTAGAGGCGTTCGCTGGGAACTACCCGTTATTTCGTGAAGTTCTTAGTCGATGTTGTCCTAATCACAGAATATGAAAGCGTTTAAAAATGACATTCTTTAATGATAGCGGTCGCGCGGAAAGTTGTCTGAATGTTTTTTGCTAAAGTTCCGTTTACACTTGGGCACGGTACGGATAAAGTCGCTGCCCCAATCCAATTTTATCCATGCCCAGACTACCAATACTAAAGTGGAGCACTGATAAATGTGGATTGGGGTGCCGACGTCAGCTATACCGTGCTTGTTCGGGTTTGGATCAGTCACTGAGTTGGTTAGTTCATGAAGTACAATTGTTCTTGTTTTGTACAGATCCTGGTGGGGTCCAGATTCGCGATTACGTCATTTTGGTGACGGTGATGAGGAGCGTGAGGATTACGAGGTTTGTACTCCGCGGTCATAGAATACGTATAGCACGGTATAAACCAGAGGTTTAAAACCAGAAATTTAGACTGGAGATTTCCTGCTTTTTAGGCCTTGTGGAGTTTGACGGAAAGATTGGGTCAAGTTAAACCAAAGGGTCTGTCCAAGGGTGGTACGTATATCGTTTTATGACAAAATGTCTTTCATTTGCATTCCCTGAAACACTCCGTCTTATGCCTTTATGATATACAAGTGCCCGAACGAGCTAGCAGTTATGATATATTCGTTACTTGTGCCCTCTCCTCTTTTTTACATCTATCAAAAGAAAAAATCGCACATAAAACGCAAGTTATACCAGCAATAAACCAGCCTGTATATCATATCAAGGTTTACCTATTTACCGGTACCTAATTTGTGCATTCATACTAAAAAATTAAAGATCCATCTAGGTATTTAGGGATTTTTTCCAACACATTCAAGTTTCGTTTTTAATGTTCCTCTTGATGGATTCGTAACATAAACGGTGTCGTCGTTGTTTTATTTCAGAGATGGAAGTCATTCCAGCGTTTCGCTACAGCGCGGCTTCTAAAGATTCCTCGAATGGATCTTGTGTTGTTTGTATGATGAACTACTCTAATAAAGAGAAATTACGACGATTGCCATGTAATCATGATTTCCATGCCAAGTGTATTGACAGATGGCTTAAGGTAAGCTGCTATTTTGTGAACAAGGTGGAATTTCGTTTCATTTCTACTCCTGAGGCATCTAAGGTTGTCAAATGCGAACATTTCTTACGATCGATAACGTCTTCTGAGCATTTTGAGCCATCTTTACAAAATTAGAATTGCATTTCACATTCAACATCCCTCAAAATTAGAATTGCATTTCACGTTGCAAGGAAAGTTGCATAGTGTAAAAGCGCCTTAAAACTATTTTCTCCCATTGTAGAATAACCGATCTTGTCCAGTGTGTCGAAAGGATGTCACAACCAAATAGTTTGATAGTGGTGGTGATGATATAATGTATATATGAAGAGAATATTCTCGGAAATTCCAATTCTAGTTCTACGCACTTAGCTAATGCACATAACAAATATATCCCAAAAATATAATAGACATCTATTAATGGAAACAGAAGTTAAAACAGATAAAAATTGTAAAAATATCGTTTCATATACTTGCTACTTGGTGTAAGTTGAGTTTATAAAGTGTTAGAATTAACGTTTAATATAGCAGCAATATTAGTGACTGTAAAATAGCTGGGTATACATTTTTGTACTAGCGGACTATAATATTTGGAAACGCTGCTTGATGTGGTAATGTATACATAGCATTGATATTCCTTTTGATATAGTTAACTAGATATATCGTGATATATAGAGTGTACCAAACGTGAGTAACCAAACTTTTGAAAGAACCTAGTATTCTCAGGCACAACATTTTATGCTTCTCGTATGTAATAAAGGTTTATTTTTGTTACTCGTAGTGTTAACATAGTGCACAGTCATTAAAGAAAATCCTTCAAATATCACTTCTTTGGGAAGAAACCCTGTATCAAATCATTGAAAGTACAGTAGTATATAAACCTACAGAATCTGTTTGACATCAAGGCTGTGACAGCTTAGTGTGAGGAGTGAATCAACATAGTTTCAATTAAATTTTCCGCAGTTCCAACATGGCCGCTTATGCCTTAGTCGATTCAGGCGGTTTGTTTGGATGCGAAGATGACATAATGCCTCCAGAATTTGGGGTCTAAAAGCGTCGTTTGGCGTGCACCTCAACTTTAAGTTTAAGCACAATATGTTACGTGCCTGATCATACTACAGTCGTTAAAAACCCTCTTCAATTATTGTGTATTGCGTTTTACATTGTGAATATTCAAGATGGTTGCCTTCAGCTAAACCATAATTCAAAGCGCCACCATTTTGAATAGGAGGGAAACTCGATTTGCCAGCATGTAAATAGTTGGTTGGCTAATAAAAATAACCATTATATTAAAAAGCTGCGAGCATCGAAGCGAATATTTTTTGCTTGAGTACACTGTATTCTGTAAAACAATCCCTTGAAAGTTCAAAGACTTAGTAACTATTGATATATGCTCTCATAGTAAAAATTTGGTATAAATCATTGGTGATGATTCAAGTGTTCTCGAATCGATAATTTACTGGTTATTTTCACGTTATACGGGGTAGATAGATAGATAAGCTTTATTTAACCAGGGTGACCCAATCAGTAAAAACTGTTCTCCCTTGGGGCCCTGGAATATTTTTTGCTTGAGTATTCTTGGGTACTAAAACGAGTCAACGACTTTTATTTTTGCCCTTCGAGAAAGATCATTACTGTTGTTTATTTCAGTAATCATGTTTACTGTTTGGATTTTACAGAAATCTACCAAACCCTGAATGTAAACGTACTAGTGTAGACCCCCGTAGGTATCCCTACACAATTTCCCTCCACGTGATTATGCTGGTGATAATTACCGCATACCAATGATTGTTTTGGATCGATGACGCGACTGGTATTTTTAAAATTTTGTTGGTCACAACCCACAAATTTAGTAAATTTCTGTGAAGAAACTACAGAGTATCATTAATAATGACACATTATTGAGGACACAAGAAGTCAAGAACTAAATTTCAACACCCGTAATGTTTGATTTTCAAAATCTACGGTCAGAAGTTGTCAAACTAAGCAAATAATATTCAACAGTATGGAATAGTGACAGGAAATTTTTGATGGTGAGAAGAAATACATGAATAAGGAATAGTTAGTACAGGGATTAGTACCGAAAATTGTTTCCACTGAAACTGATTTGTTATGCAACCCCAAATAATATGTGATTATCTTTCAGTTAAACAGTTTTTTCAAAATGGCGGCGAGTTTCTGCATGAAGAACTAGGCCAACTCATTTGCATATGCGAGATATGACTGTTCTCTTAGGGAGTAACAATTACAAAAGAAAGAGACAAAGAACTTTTGAAAAGACTGCATAATATATCCTATTAACATTGATCCCTCCCTCCCTCGTGGTTGCCATTTGTACCGGGATGCGGTATAATTCATAGTCAAAATTGATAAAGCGCACAGAAACAGGTTTCAACACGACATGTCATATACGTAAACATACAAAATATATTCAAAAATCTTGCTTCTTACAATTAAATCATAAAACTTAATGTTGATCCAAACTTCGACAAACAATAAAGTGAAAAGAAGCCGCTTGATGTTTAAATAAGTCGGTAAAACACTGTTTTGTATCTCTATCTTGAATAATGGCGGGCTTCTCTCTTGTTCTCTTTCCCAAGTCACGTGACTGAATTTGGCGCGATCGCTCGAAACACGCGTGCGGTCCTCGCAATTGCACTATCCTAATACACCATTATTAAGGGAATTTCCTTCAATAGTGGAAGCTCTGAATTTAGGCCTGTGAACTCTACATGAACGGGAACGTTGATCCCAGATAGCCGTCAGTTATCGTTTTACTTCCTGTCCCCGTAGGCTATCGCACCCAACGCTATCTTTCGGCTTCAGAAACAAAGTGAACCGGACTATCCGGATATAATCAAATATTTTGTTAATTTAGGCTCAGCGATGGTCAATATTTTACATTTTGACGCCCCTCAAGGGCCCAGGAACGTTTTTAGTGTCTCTATCGGTTAAACCGTACGGTGGCACTTTTAATTAATTCAGAAAATGGCAATTTCAGAGTATTTGTAAGGAACAAATATTTAATCGGCGGTAACTGACAACTAGCATTTTCTAACATATATGATTTAATAAATAAAATGAGTAAATGAATATTAAATCAATAATAGAGCTTGTTCAAAGTTTGCAACTTTTAAATACGGTCAATTACTCTTTAATTTCACATTTTTCTGCTAAGACATTGGAGTTGCAAATAACTCTGTTTTCTCTTATATTCTTTCGCTGGAAATGTTTGCAAAAACAATAGGATTAGACAGGAGTAACTCAATGGCAATGCCATATTATTAGAATTATTAGAATTAGTCACCGGAACTTTTAACTATACGGTAAAAATACCTGGCCTGGTTTGTTTGATGACGTGATAATCATTCAAAAGCAAGATGACTTGAGATGAACTACTGTTTTTGCCGTTTCTTTGGCCTTTTTTTTACTAAAATATGCCAGATGACACAATAGAAAGTGGAAGAAAAACATCGAAGGGCAGCGAAATGGACAGACAAAGCGAGAGTGAGACACCGCTTACTCTTGAAATGGAACAAGACACAGAAGAAAAGCCGATTGCCTATGCCAGACTGGTTGTGAAATACTCGAAATACGCCTTCGGTAAGCTTTCTTGTTTTGTGTTTATATGTGTTCCTTTCAAATATTATCGACCTGATCTATACTTGAATGACATTTTTGCTTGGCTTTTTTATAATTGTGGTGATTAGTGAAGAAAATAATCGCAAAACATCCGTAGTCGCAGTCATATTCGCAAAATATTTTGTAAATTATATAATTTAAAAAGCACTTCATTTTTTTCGGATAAAAACAGTTTACAGCACGTTTTACTTCTCTTAGGAGTGAACACATGCCTGTAGGAATCATAACTTTATCGGAAATATGTTTTGAAAATGATTGAATTTTCTGAATGTATATTATATTATTTTTTTAAAAATGGGTAGAAAAGAGTTAAAATCGAATTGATTACTTATTTTGCGGCTTATGTGTGTTTCTACTGTTTGTTTTTTGAAGGTATTGGAGTGTGTGTTCAGATCTTCATGATTTTGTTAACAGTAATCTTACTGCTAAGTGGTTATGATATTGTAAGTCCTGATTTCTCAACTCTGCCATTATTCCTGAACGAAGACTCGACAAAATTGCGAACAGATGCTTGGAAGAACGTTCACAGTGACGATTCTATCACACCAAGCTCCTCCGTGACGACTGGGCAGAAGGAAAGAAGTATTCAATACTCTCAGCTGGAATTGTTCTATGAATCCAGAGATGGCAATGTATTCACCAAAGAAAACCTGAGACGAATCAAAGCAAACGAAGATTCACTATTCGAAGACCAAACGTACAAAAGTGAACTGTGTCAAATGCAAACCGTCGGCTCAAATCAGACTTGTAAACCACCATTATCCATCATCAGGTTTTTTGACGGTACTTTTAAATCTATCGATGCTACTTTTGATGATTCGGGCTTCGATAATATAGTTGCAGTGCTAGAAAGAGCAAAAAATATCACATTGACCGCAGCCATCTTGAATTTTCATATCGGAAGAGACGCTGTCATCGACATGAACAGAAACATAGCAATCTCGAAGTACACAAGATCTCTCGTGTACTTCGGTTGGCCCATGAAAGGATACTTTTCAACAGAGCAGAAAGAACAGGAACAAAAAGAGAAGACTGATGATATCATAACTGATGTTTTTAGTGACAGGATGAACGAAATCTACAAAGATAAACTTGGTGATATGAATCTTTATTATTTTGAAAAGGCACTCCTGGGCAAAGCAATGGAATCACAAATTATCTATGACATGGCTTTGGCTATCGCAAGTTTTGTGTTCATATTTGCGTTCATGTTGCTACAAACGGGTTCTTTTTGGATCACATCCTGGGGTATCTTTAGCATCATATCCAGCTTCAATATCGCCAACTTCATCTACCGCGTCGTGTTCGACTACAAATACATTGGTATATTTCATGTTCTCGTCATTTTCATAATTCTTGGCATCGGCTCTGACAACATTTTTGTTTTTATGGACACATGGAAAGAGTACGGTCGCAATTATCCCAATTTGGACCTCACAATTCGATTGTCAAAGGTATTTCGAAGTGCTGCTAAGGCTACCTTCATTACTTCCCTCACAACGACCATCGCATTTCTATCAAACGTCCAGTCACCATTACTTGCAGTCTCATCTTTCGGCCTCTTTTCGGCAATCCTGGTCGCCGTCAATTACTGTTCCTGCACTCTCTTCCTGCCAACGGTCGTTATTTTTCACGAAATGAGACGAAAAGGTCGTTGCTGCTTCTGGCCGATATGCCGCCGCACAAGACCCCAGCAACCGCTGGAAATGCAAGAGGTTGAACAAGCGGACGGTAACGTGGACGGACCAAACGGAAATTTCGTAATCACGTTTCTTGGCGGTTGGTTCTATGAGAAGATCGTTACACAAAAATATACACGCTGGGGGGTCGTGGCGTTTTTCAGCATCCTGGTTTGTGTGTTTCTTGGATTCGCTGCGCAGCTCGGACCGGACAAAGAACAGGTAGGAACTAATCATTATTTCAATTTTTGTATGAATGTTTTCAATCTATTCACAAATTGTCTTATGTGAACAGCGTCACTGTGCTTTTCGCTTCTCATTCTAAAATTGAGTCCATAACATTGGTTGGAAAGATAGCTCGAAATAAGGGTAGTAGATAGATATAAAAATGCTGCAATCACTATTAGATTGATTGATTAAACAAAGCTGAAGTTGATTTCTTAAATATAACTATCAATGCATGCAATTCTGAGGGTCAGAAAATATCGCATGCAACTGGGGATTGAAATCCGGGACAGGGAAGATACGGTGTTCCCCTCTTTCTTGATGCACTAAGATGTGCCCTTTTTTTCAAAGGAATTTCAAAAGTATTAGTTCTTAAGTCATCTTAAGTATGAACATGTCTTATCATCCGTTATTACCCCTGAACTAAAAAAAATACTTATGCTTCCTCGCCAACATGCATGCACATAATTTATGTTGGAAAAATGTGATTACCATTTAGCACGATGAGCTAAACATCAAAGAGGCGAAAAATAGCGAATAAATGACGTGGTGCGTCTATATATGGACATGCCACGCTATTTACTCGCCATTTTCACGTCGTCTTTGACGTTCACGTGTTCATCCTACAAGTACCTATTGAAAAGTTATATTGATGAGTGAAATAATTATAATTTCATAGCAAGAATGTTTTATTTTGTTTCAAAGACTCAGGTGTTCGGTCCGAACACAAACTGGGGAAAAGTCGTTGATTTGCGGAAGAATGCGTTCAAACCAAGCCAAGAAGACAATGTCATTGTTGTGCATATTATCTGGGGTTTGAAAGAACAAGACCGTAGCGATTGTCATATGACTGATTTCAAATGTAAAGGAAGAATTGTGTTTGATGAAAGCTTTGACATGAATCTCATTCCATGTCAAACTTCTCTGCTGGTAGGTTAAGCATCCTTTATTCTTTTCAAGGGCTTTGTGCTGCTCCTTCAGGCAACGTTGAACACGTGTTGCCCTTCAGCAGCCGTATAACGAACGACGAAGCAATAGTTTTAAAATCTTTATTTACTAACGTTTGTCCGTAAAAAGAGTGTACTTGTAAAGCGTAAATAATACACAAGCAAAACGAAGGAAGGGACCCCCCAGGTAGAACCCAGCGAGCCAATGAGAGCCGCTATAGCAGTAAATTAGCGCGAAATGAAGAAACAGGAAATACTAATATGTAAATGTAGTGTAGGGCCAGAAGGGCCAGAACACTCCCCGTCTGGTACAACGGTACCACTATTAAACGTTTAAATTAACTATTCTCAAGTTCAGTTTGTCTTTTGAGCAGGACAACTTCTGAAACAGGCCTTTCATAGGTCTGTTTAGAGCCATTCTTCGCGGTGCTGATTTCCACTTTCCGTACTTTTCCATCGTTGCTTTTTGTCGTTTTGGAGATCAATCCGATCGGCCAATCGTTCCGTGCAGATTCTTTGCATCGAAGTAACACTAAATCACCGACTTCTACGTTTGGTAGAGCGTGCTCCCATTTGCGTCGACGTTGCAGGGTTGGAAGATACTCCCGCTTCCACCGAGACCAAAAACGATTCGCGAGACATTGCACTTGTCGCCATTGCTTGGCATATAGGTCTCGGGGAACAAATTTACCTGGGGCTGCCAGAAGAGGTTGAGTTTTCTGTGTTAGGAGAGCTGCTGGCGTCAATATTTCCGGAGCCGCAGGGTCGTTGGAAACCGGTATGAGTGGTCTGTTATTGACGATCGCCGAGACTTCGCCAAAAAGGTGGATAGCACTTCGTGCGTTAAGTGGGTGATTTGGGATGTCAGTAGTACAGAGTCCAATATGCGTCTGCAGACTCCGATCATGCGTTCCCACGCTCCACCCATGTGCGAGGCGTGAGGAGGGTTAAACTCCCAGGTACAACCTTGCGAGGTAAGGTAGGACTCGATGATATTCCTATCCATTTCCTTTAATGCTGCCTCGAACTCGTTGCGCGCGCCAACGAAGTTGGTTCCACGGTCTGAACGTATCAGTCTAACAGGACCCCTAATTGCCATAAACCGCCGCAGTGCGTTAATAAAGCTTGACGTGTCCATGCTCTCGATTGGCTCGATATGGACGGCTCTTGTTGCTAAGCACGTAAATAGCACCGCCCACCGTTTGCTCGAAGCGTGTCCTCCCCTGGTGCGACGGGCTACGACATACCATGGTCCAAAAACGTCGATTCCGATGTTGGTGAATGGAGGAGAGGGGTGTACGCGTTCTGGTGGGAGATCAGCCATCTTTTGCTGTTGGAACTTTCCTCTTAGCCTTCTGCAGGTGAAGCACTCATGGATAACCCGATTGATCAAGCGTTTTTCTCCGACAATCCAAAATCCCTTTCCCCTGACCATTCCGTGGGTGAAGTGTCGACCTTGGTGTTTTACCTCCTCGTGGAGATTTTCAACGATTAGTCTGGAGATGTGATGTTTCGAAGGAAGAATAGCGGGATGACGTTCTTCGTATGACGAATCAACGTAGTGTAAGCGTCCTCCGACTCTCAGGATGCCCTCGGGATCTATGATTGGGTTAAGGCTCCGTAATTGTGACGATTTCGAGAGAATTTTCTTATTCTTCGAGCAGTGGATTTCGTCCTTAAATGATTCACTTTGCACGCTTCTGATGATAAGCATTTGAGCACACCGCTTTGCTTCGACTACTGATTCTTCATCGTCTCTCTCTTCTTTATTTCTATGGCGTTGTAACCTTCGGGCCAGTCGTATCAGTCGTGACACTCCATTTACGAGGTTAGTCCAACGCGAGAATCGGAGGAATCTGGTTGTACCCAAAATGTTCCTTTTTTCCGGGTCTGCCATGGTGGCAAAGGTGTTTACGGATGGTCGGACTTCCGGGTCGTCGGCAAGTGTCTGAGTCTCCTTGTTTTCTTCTTGAGCGTGGTGGGGTGTACTATCTCAGGAATTTGGACCGTTCAGCCATATGGAATCCCTGAGATCACTAGCCTTGATCGAACGGGTGGCGAGGTCAGCTGGGTTAAGATCTGTCGCTACGTATCTCCATTGATGCGGTGATGAAGACTTTCTGATTCGTTGTACCCTATTGGCGACGTAGACGTAGAAACGTCGTGTCTCGTTTAGGATATAACCCAGTATTACTTTGCTGTCCGAATAATACGTTACTGACGAAGCCTTAATGGGCAACTCTTCCAGGACCAACTCTGTGATTTCGACCGCTAGTACTGCAGCGCAGAGTTCTAGACGAGGGATCGTGGTTGCGTGAGACGGAGCGAGTTTAGCTTTTCCGATCAAGAAGGAGACTTCGATTTTGTTGTCGTTCAGGACTATTCTTAGGTAGGAAACGGCCGCAATAGCTTCTTGCGAGGCATCGCTGAACGTGTGGACTTCAATTTGCTTGGCTTCCGAGAGAGATGTTGCCGTGTAGCTCCTTGGCAGCATAACCTGTCTCAGTTCTGTGAGTGACCTCCGCCAAACTTCCCACGGTTGTCGATATTCTTCCGGAAGAGGCTTGTCCCAAACGTCCAGTGGGTTTCGTTGGAGGCTTGTCGTCATTGTTCTTAATAGCATCTTAGCCTTAATGACCACAGGAGCAGCGATGCCAAGAGGATCATATAGACTGTTAGTAGTAGATAGGACGCCTCTTCTGGTGAATGGCTTTTTCTCATCAGCGACTTGGAAGGTAAAGACATCGTTGTGTAGATCCCAAGATACCCCGAGCGAGCGTTGAACTGGGACGCTATTATGGTGAAGATCGAGGTTACGCAGTTCTGTGGCTCGATCTTCCTCGGGAAAGGCGTGTGCTACTTCAAATTTGTTGGAGGAGACTTTATGAAGGCGGAGGTTAGCGGTGGCGAGCATTTGTTGTGTGCGTTTTAGCAGGCTGATCGCTTCTTCACAGTTGGATGTCGACTTTAGGCCATCGTCTACGTAGAAGTCACGTTCCACGAATTCCCTAGCGTCCGTCCCGTAGTTACGTTCTTCGGTGTGTGCGGTTAATCTCAGCGCAGTGGTGGCAACGGCTGGTGAGGAGGTGTTGCCAAAAAGATGCACTTTCATACGGTATTCGATCACTTCTTTGCACGGGTCGTTCTCTTTGTACCAGAAGAATCTTAGGAAGTCTCTGTGTCGGGCGTTGACAAAAAACGCGTGAAACATTTGTTCGATATCGACTGTGAAGGCGACTGGACCGGTGCGAAAGCGTAAGAGAATTCCTATCAGACTGTTCGTGAGATCTGGGCCGGATAACAACATCTTGTTTAGGGAAATTCCACTAGTCTCTGCGGCCGAATCAAAGACTACACGGATTTTTCCTGGCTTACGAGGGTGATACACGCCGAAATGAGGGAGATACCACCGTGCAGCGTTGGAATTAAGGCATTCGTCGGGGACTGGTTCGGCATGGCCTTTTTCAAGAAGCTTTCCCATGAATTCATGATAATGTTTTTCCATGTCGGGCTTTCTCTGTAACATCTTTCTGGTGTTGTTAAAGCGTTTAAGAGTGTCCTGTCGGTTGTCAGGGAGTTTCGCCGCAGGATTTCGAAAGGGCAGTGGTGCTTCCCAGTTTCCTTGAGCATTCTTTGTCATTTGGGCTTCCATGATTGACGCAAATTTCAGATCTTCGATGGACTGTCCTGGCTTATTGTCGTCTTTCGAGGTGTTGAATACGTTCCAGCCGATGTTGTCGTCAAAATAGCCGTTTCGGAATTCTTCCTTTCGCGTCGAGTGGAGACTTGGGGCTGTACGAAAGAAATTTGGGCAAGGTTCTAGGTTTGAAGGACGTCCGTTTTCTAGGATGTTGGATCTATAGCAGGCAAGATCGGGCTTGTGGGCTCCATTCAGGCAGACGTTGCCAACAATTACCCATCCAAGGTCAAGAAGCTGGGCCCAAGGTGCGTTTTTGGGACCATTTAGAGACTTGTGGACTTTGTGCAAAGGTGGAACGTTACGTCCGATAAGCAGGAGAATGTTAGCATCGTTACATATGTCGGGCATTTCCTTTGAGATGCGCTGCAGATGTGGGTATGCGGCAGCCACCTTTGGGGTAGGTATTTCGTCTCGTGAGTCTGGTATATCGTTACACTCGTAAACGTTAGGTATTTTATATCCTGTTTTTCCATCAAGGGATTCTACGACCAAGTCTTTGGTGCATCTTCCTTCGATCTCGCTGGTTCCACCACATGTTTTCAGTGAGTAAGTGGTTGTCTGTCCGTGGACGTTTAGTACATCAAAGAGTTCAGGCTTTGCGAGGGAACTGTTACTTTGATCATCTATGACCACATACGCCTTTAGCTTGTGTCCAGGATTCCCATGTAGATAGACGTTGGCTAAACATATCTTAGAACAAGACTTTCCACCGCGAGTATTACCACAAAGTTCAGTACATTTCGTGGTTATTTCTTCATGGGTGTCTTCTTTTGTTTCGTTTGATTTCGGCGGGAGCTCCCCGCCGTTCTTCGGATGGGCTTCGCTATGCAGTGCGGCCAGATGCTTGTCACTGTCGCACTCTGTACAGGTAACCTTTGTTTGGCAATCTTTGGCACAATGTTCGCAGGAGGCAAGGCATCGAAAGCAAACACCGTTTTCCTTCACTATCTTTGTTTTCTCTGCTAGGGGTTTGGCCAAAAAGGCTCTGCATTTCCGTAGTGGGTGCGGCTTTTGATGCACAAGACACCAGTTGGATGGGTCACGAGGTGGGGTTTTCACTTCCGTTCTCTTGGTGCTGATAACCTCTCTTGATCGACTTCTCAAGCCTGGATCACGTTCAGGCAAATCGATGATTAGGTTGGGGTTGTTTCTTTCTAACGAGAGTTCCTGGATAAACGTGGAGAATTCTATGAACGGTGGGTAGTCCATTGCTGCATGTTCTTTTAAGTATCGGTATGCGTATCTTTGCCATCTCCCTTGGATGTCTCCTGGTAGCTTTGCGATGATTGGCTTGATGTATATCGGCTCATCTAGGATCTTGAGTCCCGGACATCCGCCGTCTGATTTAGCACATTGGAGTTCTAGCAGCAAATCGCCAAGTTCTTGGAGTTTTCTTATTGTCGCGAATCCTACTTTCGGGAATTCGCTTAGTTTCTTCAAATGGACTTGCGTTACGACTGAACTAGATCCAAACCTCTGATTGAGTTTCTGCCATAGAACTGAAACACCTTCCGCAGGCTTTTGTATGTAGGCATTGCGAATACGTTGGGCAAGTGTATTTGATTCACCGGTTGTATGTTCTATTATGAGATTGAGTTGTTCACTGGGAGAGATGTTGACGCCGCGTATCATTGTTTTAAAGGATTCTCGCCAAGTGCAGTAATTTTGTGGGTTGTTGTCAAACTTTTTTAGTTTGTTTGCTATTAGTTCGCGACGAGCGATGAATTGAATGTAGGGGTTGATAGGGTCGTGCACTGGGTCTGGTGTACGGCTAGGGTGCTGAGGGGCAAATACATTTGCTGATGGATTCAAGGTAGGCAGTTCCTTTTCGCCATGATGGGTGTCGTTGCTCATATTAAGTTGGAGGTTTTGTCCTTCGACCGTTTGTGAGTGGACATAGCGGTGGGTTCTTTCGCTAGGGTCTTCCTCAGGCAGATCTATTTGTTCAGGTTCTCCTAAATTGAGTTCTTGATCTATTGCTTGAGCTTTTGTCACTGCGATTTCAGCTTCTTCTTCTAAGCGTAGCGTTTCCATTCTAGCCTTTTCTTCTAGTTTCCTTTGATTCAAAGCGAGTTCTTGCCTTTGCAGTTCTAATGCAGATTGAGACTCGCGTTCTGACCGTATTTTTTGGATTTGAGCCTTTTTCACTGCTGCCGAAGCTTCGGCTCTAGCGAGTGCTCTAGCGGTCGTAGAAGACATAGTTGAACCACGAGAGCTGCGTGAGCGTTTGAATGAGCCGATTTCGAGGAGTAGTTGGGTTTTACGTTCGTTGGCTTCATTTATGTTAGCTTGAACATAGTGTTGGCGGTTTTCTAATAATCTGCGATTTGTTTCATAGTCCTCTTGATAGTTGGAGTCGTTTAGAGCTAAGAGGAATTCTATAAGGCCTTGAGATACCGTTTGGTATTCGTGGAATCGCGAACGTACTTCTGAGGTATGGAATTTAATTTCATCCAAGGAGTCGGGTGTGTTTTGCAATTTGGATACAGATTGTGTTATATTTCGCCATAGTTTATCTAGTTTATTCGTGTCCGATTGGATTCTATTCTCTATGGACTTTCTTGATGGCTTTACTGTCCTTTTAGGACGACTGTGCGTCTCGACATTCTTGTTATTATCGGTTAAATGTGGGTTTATAGTCCCGTTCGGAGTTATATTCTCGATATTTTCATTATTTTGCGATAAGGCTTCAGCTAATTCTCGACTTTCTCGTACCTGTACGTCTTCTGAAGTCCCCGGTTCGGTAGGACGAGATTCAGACTTCGAGAGAGAGTTTGGGTCGATGTTTGGAGTCGGATTTGTAGCGTTTTCATCTTCGTTTACATCCATGCCACGACTAACGACTATGATTTCTCGATGCAAATATCACGCAAAATTGTACTCTTTTTACTGTGCTGCTCCTTCAGGCAACGTTGAACACGTGTTGCCCTTCAGCAGCCGTATAACGAACGACGAAGCAATAGTTTTAAAATCTTTATTTACTAACGTTTGTCCGTAAAAAGAGTGTACTTGTAAAGCGTAAATAATACACAAGCAAAACGAAGGAAGGGACCCCCCAGGTAGAACCCAGCGAGCCAATGAGAGCCGCTATAGCAGTAAATTAGCGCGAAATGAAGAAACAGGAAATACTAATATGTAAATGTAGTGTAGGGCCAGAAGGGCCAGAACAGGCTTACACAGCAAAGGGAAAGAGGGGATAGCTGCCCGGGCCTCACCCCTTGAAGAAATTTCAACCTAATGAATCTACTATTCTAAACTGGGCAAGGTTACGTACAATACAATTGAATATTATTGTGAAAGGAGCATCACTTCTTCCCAGATTAGAGATCCCGCGTAATCCAGTCTTTTGACTTGGCAATCTGCATGAACCTCATTAATATACAAGAACTGCACCCTTTTTTTGAAAATTTTATGTGTTATGAGAAACGAAAGAGAAAAACAACCGGAGTTGCGCATGTGCATGCTGTTAAAGTCACTGTTGTTTCCTATGGATTGTAGGAAACGTAAGTGTAAGAAAGGTACACGGAGCGTGGGAAACATGAAAGTTACGTAGTTGCCAAATTTTTTACATACATCTCTCAAAAGTAACATTGCACTGAAAATTGCAAGTTGTAACAGAGCCTTTATCCTCCCTGAAACATTCATAAACACAAACAAGTTAGCGAAAATTTTAATTAACTCTAATAATTATTCACCACATTGTAGACATTTTGTGATGATCTTCAAAATTTACGAAGCGAACAAGAGTATGATCTAAGACTACGACGAAGTGAAGTCACCGGAAAGGTTGAAGTACAGTGTATTTTCGAAAGACTGGATGAGTGGTTGACGGTATGTGTTACGTTTGTTTCCACAGAGCAACCTTTCAGATTATTTGTTAATTTTTAAAGGTTCATCTCAGTGTCATCAACTTTTGGAAATTAATTTTTTTGAAAGTTCTTGATAGCGAAGAAAAAACTCGCTGCATGGTTGCAACTTCGCTCAGCGATCGCATTGCCGAATTTTGTTCAGCGGCGTAACTAGAACGATAATTAATTAAGGGGTGGGAGGTGGTTTGTTAATTCATATAATTGTTCAGTTTTGCCCAACTGACGTCTTTTTTATAAGCTATTGCACCTACAAATGAAATCCGTCGGGCAGAACTGAATATTTGAATAAACATAATGTGGCTATATAGGTTCGGTAACTTGGCTACTAGGAGCCGGTTGTATCAAGCCCGATTAACTTAAACGGTGGATAAGTCAAAATTAAATATAACACTCTTACATCTCTCTTGAATGAGTCAACTTGAATATTATGCACTGAATATGTAGTTGTAGACAGTATCTTTGTATTAAGGTAAAGAATATATAAGGTAAAGAGTATTTTGGAAGAGAACGGGCTTTATCCGATTTCGACAGTTCCGGTCACCTTCGTAAAGGTCCGGAATCACAAAATATCCTATTTTTTCTGGGAAATATTTATGTATACGAGGCTGTATTTGCCATTTAGCTTCTAGCTGAATTTATAATCTGTGTGCAAAAATAATAAATGTTTTTGAATAATAATAAACTGAGTAACTGAGATATTCTTTTAAAACTTCATGCACTAGTGATCTTTTGTTCCAGATTGAAAGTAACAAGTCGAAATATCCTGATGGATCTGATTTCAGTCTTCCTACAAGTGGAGAAAAAATACGACAATTAATGATCGCTAATCCTCAACTTTTTAACGTCTCCTTGTTGCCAGATACATACTACAGGTTTTTTGAGGTGGCGCTTGGATTTTTTATTTTTGATGGTAAATCCCCCGAGTACGCAAATAGTTACGATTTTAAAGTGTATAGTCCATTGATTGGAGGAACTCTAGATACCAGCATGGAAAAAGGATCAAAGAATCTCATTCAAGGTGATCAATTAAATTATGAGAAAAAAACAGCAAGAAATTGTAAAGCACAACAACGAGAGGTTGTAAGCTAGCTGTTTGTTTAATCAACCTTGTTTCTTCATTTTGAGCGATTTCATTTGGATTTTTTTAAAATGAGATTAAATATATCGGTTTTGGTAGTCTGAACTTTTATTAGAGAGCTTTAGCAGTGACTACGAGTAAGAGATTCGTCATTTTCGCGCGTTGTTTGCTTACGCCATCAGCCAAAACTCGTAGTCGTTGGGCTTTCGAGTACGAAATTTATCAAGAAACTCGTACTCAAAAGCTCGGCGACTACGAGTTTTGGCTGATGGCGTAAGCAAACAGCACGCGAGAATGACGAATCTCTCAGTCGTACTCGTACTCGTAGCCACAGCTAAAGCTGCCTATTAAAGCAGTTACCGGTAGATGAATTATAAACATTCATTCTCAAAGAACAGTTTTCACGGGTCTAACGTTCATTACATCTTATATTTCTTAGGAAATAAGTACGGTCATCGTTTAAAGTTTATGGCCATTGCACTGAACACAACATTGGACCCTTCTTCCCTATCCTACAAAGATGGATTACCAATCTACAATAATTGGGAGGACTTTGTTAACGAAAAGGTTAAATCATATTTCAGTAGCTGTATATAGAGAAACAAAGTTAACCCTATTTAGTTCAAATGAGTTTGGGCAAAGCAGTAAAACATTGTTGTGTAATTTAAGCTCTGTCATTACTGATGCTCATGCGTACTCTGCTGGTTTGGGAGGAGCATAGGAACCGGAGGGACAGAGGGGGGGGGGGTGGCACGTGCCCCCAAAAAGTTTTCAAGGGATCAAAAAGTGCCCTTTTTGTAATGAAAACCGGCTTTTCGGAGAAGCTAATGCAGCTGCAAACACCATTGTAAAATCGAAGGTGCTCTTTTTGTTTCTGCGCATTACAAGAGCTTCTATTGTTCTATGGTATAAATATATATATATATTACGTAGAGCTTCTATTGTTCTATGGTATAAATACATTAATTTTTTGTTCAGTTGCCTGAAGAAAGTGCCCTGATATACTCCAATTGTTGATGATTTTATTTCGTAACGATCTTCCATAAAAACTTCAACCTGTTCTCTGATTTCAGATGAAAGAGATGCCGCCATCATGTGCCAACGGTTTTCAAGCAACAGTAGGGATTAACAATGCATGGCATTGGTTAAAAGTTCAAGAGGTAACTACACTTTACGAGACTTTTCAAAGCATATAATTATATAATGAGCTACCAGTTCTCTCATTTCTCCTTTTGGGAAAAGTTTGAAGACCACTGGGTTTAAACAGGAATTTAAATAATTTTATACGATCATGTTTAATTTACCAATAGAACTCGTTTAACATTCACTTCCTATAAGGCTCAGATCATGACACTCAAGCACATTTTGGGAACGTCCCTATTAAGGTGTTTGATTTTTTAAGTTGGTAGATACTTGCTGAATATGCCCTTACTGCATAATTGTTATAATTTATTAATTTACCTTTTGGTTTTTAGATTTTAGTGCGAAGTGCAATTACAGGCATTTTAATTGGTCTGTTTTCGTCCTTTGTCGTTCTTGTTATGGCAACAACGAATATCATAGTTGGAACTCTTGCTTCGTTGACCATTTCCCTGATCACATGCTCCGTACTTGGTATAATCGCAATGATTGGCTGGAAGCTCGGAGTTCTCGAATCACTGAATCTCACATTAGTCGTCGTCTCGCAGTTGACTATGTGGTTCATTTGGCAGAAGGTTACATGGACCTAGTTGGTCAAGATCGGCTGACTAAGGTCCGTCACACCCTTACCCATGTTGGAATCTCAGTTCTCTCAGGCGCTTGTTCTACACTCGGGCGTCGGTTTTTGCTGGGAGCGAAAATTGTTTTCTTTTTTCAATTTGGAATTTTCATGTTTTGCACCATCGGGCTCTCAATCTTGTTCTCCCTGGTATTCTTCACCACCGTGCTAGCTCTGGTTGGACCAGAGCAAGATGAGAAAGGCTCGACCAAGCCTCCTCTAAAGTATTGTATCGACCATATTTGGGGAAAGAGAAAGAATAACACATACTGTGAAAGATGCGGTGGAAAAGGTTTTGTTCCGCTGGGCAATGGACAGGATGAAGACGAACGGTAACTTATAAATGGTCACAGTGTCATTGTTAATAAACTGAGTTTAGATTTTTAATCTATTTTTTAAAAGAATATTCCAAATTCTTGTATGATTTTTCAAATAAAAGTGCTTTTTTATGCTTAATCCTATAGATTTAAGGCGATGTATTACCGTATAATTTATATGCATGCCGATTTGAATTTTGCCCCAGATTGATCAACCTGTGTGAATGATAAGAATAGTTTTTACAAAATCTGCTGGTGACTTAAAACACCAACCGAACGTACCTTATGATATAAAACTATGCGTTGTCTGACAATGAGACTTTTCCAGAAATGATCTCTAGAATCCGTGAATACAATAGTTTCGAAACCGATGTTGGTTAACAAATGAAAGCCGCCAGATTATATTCCAATATAACCAAGAGGCAGCGTGGCAGCGTCTTCAAACAACTTAGCATCAAATGTGGTATAACAACTGCCTAAATAGACAAAACACTTCTCGACGTTTCGACCTGAGGGCCTTCGTCGGGAGAGTTAGTATTAGGAGTTAGAGGGCTTTAGTCAGGACAGTTAGTCTTACTAACTTTCCTGACGAAGGCCCTCAGGTCGAAACGTCGAGAAGTGTTTTGTCTATTTAGGCAGTTGTTATACCACATTTGATGCCAGATTAAATTATATAATAATTTATCTAAATTCCTTTTAAACACGTTTCTTCACGAGGAAGGCATATGTCAGTTGAAAGCCTTTGTTTGTACAAAATGCATTTCTCGTCTAGTTATGAGAAAGCAAATTATAAAATTCAAGAGCGTCATCCCTGAGCCAGGTTTCATTTAGGCATTAAATGAAATATAATCTATGTTTTAATTGTCAACAACATGTCAGTATTGATGGAACCTTCATCTGGATTTTATTACTTTCTGCAATACTTACTGAAACATTAATAATCAACTTACGATCATGTTGTAGCTTCATTAAAGCCGTCGTGCAGCTGAAAGTATACACCGGTTTGTAAAACCTTGAACATCGTCAACATCTGAATTTTAACTCAGAGGGGAAAGAAAGTGGGAATATTAGCGATATAAACTAGAAGGTAAAATGCTGCATGGTGCTATTGAATTATCCAGCTCAAATTATAAAGACTTTCATTCTTAGTTTCAGTTCAAATTCGTTCGAAAAATCATGTTGATTTTCGGATTATAGAAAAAGAAAAGCTTCATGTGTTCTAGGTATATATTTGCTCTTTTGTACAATTATTTTAACTCCATAACCATGCAGATCATATTGAAAATTGTGCCTATATTTCTATCCTAAATCATTCGTGCACAGACGCTTCGAAATTTAATGTAAATTTTTTTACCGGGATTTAAATAAAACGATCGAGCAGCTGCCAGGGCTCGTTTGATTATTAACTATACCGATTGTATGAGGACAGAAATGATCTGCCTGGTCCAGTATGGCACAGTATTCTCTACATCATTTTGTGGTGCATCACCTTATTTAAAAGAGCATCTGCCGTATGCGTTCCAAATTGCAAGTAGTTTGGACCTAAAAACATGTTAATGTAAATTTTATTTCAGTTCGGTGAGAAGTAAACGTCGCTCGATCTTTAAATGAAAAGTTGAAGTTTTTTCCATGACATTGATGTCAAGAACTATATGCTGGAAGGATGAACTTGGACTTGGACTTTCAGGAACAAATTGCTCTTTGCTACCTCATTATCTTGGTTTTCATCGCCATCTTCACACTTCTAGGAAATACCTTAGTCTTGATTGTGACCTGGAGGGAAAGAGGTCTTCATCAACCAAATAAATATTTTATTGCTTTTCTGGCTGTGGCTGATCTTCTCGTTGGTGTGTTGCTGATACCATTGAAATTGTACCAACACAATCTAGATCATGAATCACTAAGTACAATGTCTCTTCATCTGTGTAGATTTTTAGTGTGGATTGACACCTTTGCTTTCACAATATCAATTTACACGTTGACATTCATCAGTTTTGATCGATATCTCAAAATCAGTAAACCACTTCAATATAAATCACGAATGACAACTTCCAGATCAGTAAAAATAATTTTCCTAATTCTTATCATTTCAACTTTCATTGCAACATACGCCCGTCACCCTTCATTCAGGGGCATTGGACACTTGGTGAATGGCGTCGGTCCCTGCAAATTACGAACCAAGGTATTGAATGAAATGAAAGGATTGTTCACCTTTTTATCAATTGGTGGTTTTTTTCTTCCCTCCATAATCATAATGATTATGTACGTTCTCATTTTTCTTGTTGCTCATAAACGAAAGAAGATGTTCCTAAATGGGGAACTGGGTCAAATAAACAATCAGAACCAACGTGGCTCATTTCGTCAAGATCTAAAAGTGATTAAAATGTTATTGGTTGTCGTTGGAGTTTTCATATGTTGCTGGGGTCCGTGGGCTATTGTGATGTTGGTGATGTTTTATTATGGAAATGTACTTGGTGTTGGCCACGGATATTATATAACATTTTTTGTAATAAGCATACTTCCTTTACTTAACAGTATGTGCAATCCAATTATTTATGCCTGTCTGGACAAAACATACAGAGAATCTTTCAAACGTCTTTTTCACCGAATAGTGCGATGACCATGCAATCAACTATAAGAACCTAACGTTCGATTCTACGTCAATGTTATAATTTGTTTTCTATATATGAATTAACTTCTTATTGATTTTTGCCGAGATATATCTCAAAATATGTCAAACAAGATTAAAATTCCAGGGTGTCAAAACAGAGTCAATTTCATGGTAGGAAAATGCACTTCGCATTAGTTATACTCAAAAAACATGTAATTTAATTTCAAAGTGATGGTGACGACATGTCCTAAACTTGCGGTTTTATCGACTGTTGCACTCTATTCGATCTCGATTCGGTTTCGGCTCGTTTTCCACCGTCCACATTTGGCCCAATTGGCTCCAAATCGATCTCGGATCGATCTAAATGGCTAGTGTGAACGGCCCCTAAATAAAACCTGGTGTTTATAGTTTCAGTCTCAAAATGGCCATTTCACAGGCAGGCGGCAGGCCACAGATTGCAAAATACGAATTTAGAAAGAAATTTGGACTTGTGTTAATTATTCAGTAGCATTTTATTCAATTAAGAGCAGAACAGAAATGGACAAATATGAATTAGAAATGAGATTCATATAAACATCAATAATCTTGGGTGTCGATTAAATTCAGCTGCTAATGCGGCGTTAATTCGAGCTCGTTGTAATTTAAAGTAGGAATTGATTATCTCAGCTATTGAGCATATTGGTTTAACGTTATATTAAAGAATTTTCCCCTGTCATTTCTGATTGGTTAAATGTAGCGCGTTTTATCATATATAATATAATGACGATACATTTATTACCTAAATCCTAGGTATTATTGTTGTAATAGCAAAATCCATGTTCCTTTTGGCAAAATGAAATGAATGTTAATCTGTACCAAACATAGAAAAGCAAACTATGCAATGTCGAACTGAAAAATATTGTTCTTAATAAACGTTCATTGTTAATAAAAGAGAGATTGATTACAGTGATGAATAAATATTTTTTGAGTTACTCATTTTATTATAATGTCAACGAACGTTAAAACGAAATAGTTGATAATAGGACGTTATCCAATAACGTAACTTCATCGGGGTTTGACTGATGGTGAAGCGAAGCCATAAATTATTACAAAGACCGTCGGTCAGTCAGCTGAAATCTATTGTAGCTGAAAAGTCTGATGTAAAAACAGACGATGAATATATAAGAGTTTGACTGGCGGAAGTCAGGGAAGAGATTCCAAATATTACCTGGTGGATATTCAATGATAAATACAGGTAAAGTCAGCTTTCAAGGTTGTCCTTCCTCACAGTTTGTGTTGCTTAGTTGTTAAATAATATATTAATAATAGCCTTTATTGGACCTTTGTATATCAGTTTATGTTCTGTAATTTTACAAGAGCTTTTCATTTTTAATAATGGCGTAAAGCACAATGTCATTCAATCATGTAAGGACCAACCCATTTTGTTCCTCCACCATGGCATTAAACCAGAATGCATCCACTACCAGGGCAGCTAGCGGAAGAAACAGTTCTACAAATCATGCTTGCTGAAGTCTTAGAAATTTCTTCAAGAAAATAATCGATTTGGCATCGGCCTAAATTTTCATGATTTCATCCGCTCAAATTTTCATCGATAATTGTTGCATATTTTACATAGCGAGAGACAAAACAGAAATTCAAATTTTCTCTAAATTAGAATCGCATAATTTTGTGCTTTTATCCAGGGTTTGTTTTGTTTTAAAGAAACATTATTATGATCGCACCCAAGCATATTCATTTCGAAAATCTATGATAACTTTCAGACAATTCACTGAATCTTTACTATCTGCATGTGTTATGCACGACCAATTATTGCTGCCTTTTGTTAAACGAGGATTAACGTGGTTGAATTTTTTTTTTTAATTTAGAACCAGTGTAATCGAGCGTTTGAAAAAGTATCATGGCCACTGATAACTTCACAAATCAGTCAGGACGACAGATATTAACAAGTGGACATACGTGTTAGCACACGAGAAACAATCTCTTCCGTATCACGTATCTTTGTTAGTTTTAATCGCCATCTTCACATTCTTTGGAAATATTTTGGTGTTGATTGTGACCTGGAAAGAAAGAAGTCTTCATCAACCAAATAAATACTTTATCGCTTTTCTGGCTGGGGCTGATCTTATCGTTGGATTTGTTGTGATACCATTGAAATTGTATCAACTCAGTCTTGATGCTGAACAGAAAAATGCAATGTCAGTTCACCTCTGTCGCTTTTCAGCGTGGATTGACACATTTGCGCTAACAACATCTATCTGCACACTTAACTTCATCAGTTTTGATCGATATCTCAAAATCAGCAAGCCACTTCAATATAAATCACGAATGACAACTTCCAGATTAGTAAAAATAATATTCCTCATTGTTTTCATTTCATCGTCCATTGCCACGTACGCCGCTGCTCCACATCCTGGAAACATTGCACTTTTAGAAAATGGCGTTGGTCCTTGCATTTTAATCCATCTTGACGACCGAAGCAAAGTATTTTTCACTTTTTTATCAATCATTGTGTTTTTTCTTCCCACCATATTCATGCTGATTATGTACGTTTTCATTTTTCTTGTTGCTCATAAACGACAGAAGACGTTTTTAAACGGGGAACTGGGCCAAATAAACAATCAAAATCGACGAGCTGCACTTCGTCAAGATATAAAAGTGATTAAAATGTTGTTGGTTGTTGTTGGAGTTTTTATATGTTGCTGGTCTCCGTGGATTCTAACGATTTTGCTGTCGTTTTATCATCCATATATATATGGTGTTAGTTACAGATATTACATAGCATTTGTTGTAATACGCGCACTTCCATTACTGAACAGCATGTGCAATCCTGTCATTTATGCCTGGTTCGACCAAACATACAGAGAAGCCTTCAAACGTCTTTTTCAGCGAATGATGTGTCGACCAGACTCAAGAAGCCAACACATGCAGTAGCTTTGGGACCATACCGGAAAGCTAACAATCGTCTTCAGTTTTCATCTGACCTGTCATTAAGCGCAAGTTCTTGTTTTCGAGAACATTTTTTGCATACTCAGTTTGAAGTGACCTCGAATCGAAACAAATTGTTTGCGAAATAGGTTTACCTGATAGTTTTTATCAGATTACAATAAAGAAAAAAGCCAGCTAAAATTTACATGCAGGAAATGTTGTCCTAGACTTTAAGAAATCTGAAAATTTTCTGGGTGTGGCCTATTACTTTTTGAGATATACCATGCTTCACGCGAAATATCGCCGAATATAATTTAAAAGTTTTACAAATGCATGGTGAATAAGGAATATCAAATTGGTTTGATAAATGTCTCTCACTTACAGAAGCTTCACTTTATCGAGTGGAGGGATCGAGCGCGTCATTCTTTCTGTAAGACAAAGTAACCAATAATTTTTAAATATAAATTAATATCATTGTCGTTTTTCCTCGGTAATTTTCTTCATTTCCGTTAATGAAAGTTTGATTATTTATAGTATATTAATTTTACTTTCCTTATCTTTTTTAATGAAAACTTTTAAATTAATCTTACAGAAAACTGCTCATTTTAAGAATGTTTTAATTCGCGGTCGCTTTTTCATCAGGCTACAATAAAGTCAGCCCTTCCAAAATTTCTATCTTAACACATTTTTTACATTGTTTACAAAACAAGCGGGCGGCAGGGGAAAAGAGGAGTTCTTTTTTTTGCGATCTATTTTTGGAAATCCTATACGAAAGGATTACACTATATATACTAGGATTATACTAAGGGTGTTGTTGTTGTCCATAGGAGCTTAAAATGAGGGGGTAACAAGATGTACATGCAAGGAGACATATATAGTAGTGTCGTTTAACGTTTGAAATACTGAGTACTACTATTGACAGAGACTTGATAATTATTGAATTGACTATGCAATAAAAGCACATTACTTATTGATCGAAACGTTATGACCAGTATCATTATAATTATAATATTAAAAAACGTATCTTTTGAGAACTGGAAGAACAAGTCGTTGTCTAAAATACAAGCCTTTATAGGAAGTACCAAACTACCAACGGAAATAATCTTTCTGATGGTTTTCGTTTCATTCTCCTTTATCCAAATTAATTTTTGTTGTATAATGAAATTTTTAATTATGTAAGCAGTATATTGACAGTCGAGGGTCTTTATTAATTTGAATTAAACGTTCATACTCTTATTCAGCCGACTCCTGCTATAAATAGTTTATATACTTAACGTACATTTAATAGCAATGAAATAAACATGGCGGTAAACTGTCACGATTTACATTGAAGAATACATAGCTAAATATTATATGACTATTTTGACAGAACCTTGATTGTGATCAATTGGTGATGCAATAAAAGCACAGTCGTTTTTATTGAAACGTCATGACAAGTATCTCGTTTATTGAAGAAAAATAATCACCTTTTGAGAACAGCCGGGTGCGTAAAAGCAGACAGTCTTAGTTGATAACACAAGCCTTTCGCAAGCACCAAGCTACAAGCGAGGAGAGCCTATACCAGGAAAATACCAAGAGACTAAAACCTTTAAGGAGATTTGATCGTAACGAACTGGTCAGAATCACGAGTCTCCGAGATATATTTCAAATTATTATGTGTTTGTGAGAAGGTAAATAGACGAAAAATTAGAACTTGGCAGCACAATAAGGTTTTCCTATTTAGTATTTACTGTAGCTGTGAATATAGTAACCATTGCCGCTTTCATTGCATGTAAAGCTTGGAATAATTAGATTTTTAAGTTTACAGTTTTCCCTATAAAAAACTGTGAACCAGCTCAACTTACTCAATTTACAAATTTACTCGACTTTTCTTCCCCCAACCACTTGCCAATCATTTAGTTACAAACGTTCGTGCTTCAGAGACAAATGATCAAAATCCGTAATTCTTGAACATATTCTATGGCTTTGTCAGTATTTCTACAAACTTTAAGTTATGCCTACGGGAAGCAAATTACGTACCCTGCATGTCTGTAAGATTTCCGCATCGGCACAACCATTGACAATTTCGCAAAATGTTACCTTTCATTTCCAATTTGTATCCTTTAATTTCAATAAAGCTAGTTTTAGAAATAATGTTGGCAACTAATATCAATGGTACACAGAATAATCATAGGAACCAATCAGGGATGACCGACAGCAGATTGTCCAACATGACAGAATTCATTAAGCGGCTGAATTTATCCTACGGAATTATAATAATTTTCATCGAACACTAATAAAATTGGGGTCGGGAAATAATTTTAGCCATTCCGTGCCAATAAATCGAGTGTAGTGTAAACGGGGCTTAAATCATGTTTACATGCCAGCGTTTCTGATCACTGTTTGATCTTACGCTTTTTATACAATTTATTAATGACTTTTCCCTGGCGGGCGCATCAGCGTAAATATATTGACTACTTTATTCGGATTCAAAGATATTTATTCTGTAATTTCAATAGAGCCAAGATTTACAATAATGTTGGCAACCAATATTAATGGTACACAGCATGATCAGACGAACCAATCAGGGATGACCGACAGCAGTTTGTCCACCATGATAGAATTCATTAGGCGGCTGAATTTATCCTACGGAATTATAATAGTTTTCATCGCTTTTTTTATTATTTTGGGAAATACTTTGGTCTTGATTGTGACCTGGAGAGAAAGAAGTCTTCGTCAACCAAGTAAATATTTTATTGCTTTTCTGGCTGTGGCTGATCTTCTCGTTGGTGTGTTGGTGATACCATTGCGATTTTATAAACTCCTTCTCGATATTGAATCACTACGTACAATGTCAATTCATCTGTGTCGCTTTTTAGTTTGGATTGACACATTTACCCTATCAACATCCATTTACACGTTGACATTCATAAGTTTTGATCGATATCTCAAAATCAGCAAACCACTTCAATATAAATCACGAATGACAACTTCCAGATCAGTAAAAATAATTTTCCTGATTGTTTTCATTTCATCCTCCATTGCCACGTACGCCGCCACTCCATTTGCAGGCAGCAGTGGAATTTTGGACGGCGGTGTCGGTCCTTGCCGTATAAACAATGTTAACGACCTGGATAAAATTAAAGTATTTTACACTTTTTTTACAATCATTGCATTTATGCTTCCCACCATATTCATAATGATTATGTACGTTCTCATTTTTCGTATTGCTCATAAACGACAGAAGATGTTCTTAAATGGGGAACTGGGTGAAATAAACAATCAGAACCGACAAGGTGCATTTCGTCAAGATTTAAAAGTGATAAAAATGCTGCTGCTTGTCGTTGGAGTTTTTATATGTTGCTGGTGTCCTTGGATTATAATAGTATTTCTTTCGATTTATTCAAGTGCATTTGTTGTTACCTCACTAAACACCTTTTACTTCATCTTAATTTTCGGTTATGCAATGCGTGCGCTTCCATTACTGAACAGCATGTGCAATCCAATAATTTACGCTTGTCTCGACCAAACATACAGAGAAGCCTTTAAACGTCTTTTTGAACGAATAATTCATCGGCCAGATTCAAGCCGACAACAGCCACCATTAGCGTTACGCCCATCGAGAAGTTAAAAACCGACTCTCCCTTGAATAATCTCATGAGTTTATTAAATGCGGCGTTTAAGAAAACGTTGAATATTAGAAGATTATTTTCTACAAATAGGCAATAAAAATTTTAAATTAAAAAGAGGTGGAATCAATAAAAATTTTTTAGAACATAATTTCTCACTATAAATAGATAAATTTTAGTAACATGTAATGAAATCCATGCAGTCACAATACAGTCTTTTTTCGCGTAGCTGGAAAAATACAGTGAGACCAAAGCCTTACCTAAAGCCTCTCAAAGGCTCTGGTGGTGGGAGATTACAAAAAAAATAATAAAATTCGTAAATTGAATACTAAAAGTCCATGCAAATATTCTGCTAACAGCAAACAAGAAACCGGAATTCTTTTTATTTCATTATTTTTATATCAACATTCTCTATAGCTATATATAGTGGTTATTTTACGAGCCATCCAGTTACACTATTCTTATTGCAGTCCTAGGTTTACAATTGTTTTCATCTTAATAACAGTTAATGCAATGTAACGTTGCACTCCTACACGACCCCATGCACTCCCCACGTGCGAGCGAAATTTATACACTTGACATTCTTTTTGTTAGACAAAGCAAAAATTAATAACATGCACTAGCACTATGAAATATGTTAATTTTTTTCTTTTTTCTTTTACGTTTAATTATAAAAAGCAGACTCACACGTGAGTGTCCTCAATTAATAAATAACTAAGACAAAATAACAAAGACTTTCTAAATTAATCCTTGCTACTCTTATTAAACAAACGGTTTTGCCAACGCAATTTTCTCCCAACCAATTTCATTAAATCATTCAGGAATATACGATTTTTGCTGAGTTTAGAGCAAAGAAAATATGAAAAACCAATTCCTATCTTTTGGTAAATGATTGTGTGAAATGTCAATAAAGGATTATACTTAAAGTCCATGGAGTTGTAGTTGTGGATTTGAGAGTAATCAGGTAAACCTCAAAATAAATAATGAAACATCTCATTTAAAAGTCGTATTACAACCTTCAGTGAGCTTCCCGTCATTTCATATAGTAATGAAAAGTTTACGTCGGGCTACCACAGGAGATTTTGTGCATGTTTTGGAATAGCGAGGGCTTGCTGCATGTGCTTATTTTTAGTGTAACCTGTATGTACTTGGCAATGATTTAACAAATAGATAACATTGAACCGTTGTCTATTCAGTTATAGCCACACGGTATGACATGACTATTTTATGATAATAATAAAACAAAGTGGCCACGACCCGCCGGGGCGAAAAATTTTTTGTTCTCATCTTGTCAAAGTAGAAATTTTGCAAACATGATTTATACACGTACATGATTTATAGGATTGAAGAAATGCCATTGGATTGAAGAAATGCGATTGGCTAGCTTAAGACACGAGCTAAAATGTGATTGGCTCAAAAAATAAAACAAGAGATGACTGAATAAAGTCGTTAAAATTATCTGTGACGTCATTCCGTGCGTCTGTCCGCTGGTAGTTCATGGTTCTCGACACAACGAAATTGCTTGAATTCTTAACGTTATTATATAATTCGACTTTCGTAATACATGAATATTTCCTAAAAGGCCTTGTAAGCCGTTCGCAAAAAGTTTCAAACATGCTCGAAGGAAACAAAATAACGTACAAATGTGTAGATATAGGTAAATTTTGCCACACCCGTACACATTTCTGGCCGCAGGCGTTGACTATCGTTTTCTAAACTTATATTTCTAAATCTATTTTAAATAGTGCCCAGAAATAATGTTGTCAACGAATATCAGTGGTATACAGTTTAATTATACTAATCAATCAGGGATGACAAATAGATTGGAAAAATTCCCGGAACGATTTTTTTTATTTTACGAAATTATGTTGAATTTCATCGCCATTTTCACACTTCTGGGAAATGCTTTGGTCTTGATTGTGACCTGGAGAGAAAGAAGTCTTCATCAACCAAATAAATATTTTATTGTTTTTCTGGCTGTGGCTGATCTTATCGTTGGTGTGTTGGTGATACCATTCAAGTTGTATCAACTCAATCTTGATCCTGAACAGAAAAATGGAATGTCAATTCATCTGTGTCGCTTTTTAGTGTGGATTGACACTTTTGCGTTGACAACATCCATTTACACATTGACATTCATCAGTGTTGATCGATATCTTAAAATCAGCAAACCACTTCAATATAAATCACGAATGACAACTTCCAGATCAGTAAAAATAATTTTCCTGATTGTTTTCATTTCTACTTCCATTGCCACGTACGCCGCCACTCCATTTGCAGGCAGCAGTGGAATTTTGGACGGCGGTGTTGGTCCTTGCCGTGTAAACGACCTAAATAAAATCAAAGGATTTTATACCTTCTTATCAATCATTGTGTTTTTTCTTCCCACCATATTCATAATGATTATGTACGTTCTCATTTTTCTTGTGGTTCATAAACGCCAGAAGATGTTCTTAAACGGGGAACTGGGTCAAATAAACAACCCGAGCCGACAAGCTGTATTTCGTCAAGAATTAAAAGTGATTAAAATGTTATTGGTTGTCGTTGGAGTTTTCATATGTTGCTGGTGTCCTCGGATTATAACGATACTACTTTCAATTTATCATCCAACATTGCTTTATGTGAGTAATAATTCCTCAATAAGCACCATTCACGGGATTTACATTCTCTTTTATACAATGCGTGCACTTCCATTACTGAACAGCATGTGCAATCCAATAATTTACGCCTGTCTCGACCAAACGTACAGAAAAGCCTTCAAACGTGTTTTTCATCGAATAATTCGTCGACCAGACGTAAGAAGACAACAGTCAGCCATAACGTAACGTGCACAAAGAAGATAACAACAGATTCTTCCTCATAGAATCTTGTGATTTATTGAAAATACAGCGCGAAAGAAAACGTGGAGCATTCAATAAATTATTCGCAAGTTTATTCTTGCAAATACGCAGTGATATTTTGAAATAAATGAAAAAGTGGAATCAATATAGTGAAACCAAGGAGCACATAAAGCCTGGAAAAAAATTACAAATTGAAGGTTGGAGGTACCTAAAGATTCCTCATTAAACAGCGTTTACCAGATCTACATTCTATTCTATCCCCGAGCCGGTGCGGAGCATCGTGGGAGGGTACTAATTCCGCCCAGAAATTAGGAATTACACCCGGAACCGGGAAAACATAGCGGAATCCAAAGTTGTCCAAAATGTCATGAACCTTGGACGCTCAATGGTCATGGTACTTGCACGCATGCACAAAACTTGAGCGAGTAAAGACTAGTCATCAGCAAATTGCTGATTGGCTAAGACAAAAAGTTTGTATTGCAATGAAAAACGTCAGCAATTTAACTAATTTTTTTAAAAAATAAAATATGAAATGTGGAATCAAACAAAGTGATATAAACACTGGAAAAAGATTAAAAATTCAACACTAGCGTTGAAAAGGAAGGCCTCGAAGTGGACAAGTGGTAGATGACTGTCTATTTTGTTTATTTCGAATTCACTGGTAAGAATGCATTTTATTTTCATTGAGATATTTGAGTATGAGCTTGGTATGTCGTTTTACGATGACCTAAGCGACAATTTGAGGCTTTACATCATCGTTTTAAATTCAAAACGAGTTCTTAAATGTGTAGTTCCTAGTTTTGATAATTATAACAAATATCACTTTAAAGCTTTTAAAGAGTCGACTGCAATCACTGCATTATTTCAATAATCGAAAAACAACATTCGACGTTTAGTACAGCTTGGGGATTTAAGTTATTTGTGCTGTTTTGATGTTTTGAAGGTTTTATTAGCTATAGTGAATTATTAATTCTCACTTAAACTGTGAAAGTCTAGGCTATAAACTGCATGCAACATAGCTAAAATGCAGCAGGAAAGTAGGTGATTTCACTTCACCTTTTAAATGACTTCATGTGTTTGTTTGCAAAAAAATTGAGACATCAGCTATCGGCTTCATATTTATAAAGTCATTTCATAATATAAACTTAGAGGGTTAAATATTTGCTTCGTTGGAAATGGCGAGGGGTTGCTGCATGCATGTATTTCTAGCACAATGCGTGCACTTCCATTTCGTAACAGCGTGTGCGTTAACCCTATCAATTTTGCCTGTCTCAATCAAATGATTATGGTGTGGAGGTTTCAAAAGTCTTTTTAATCAAATGACGCGATAGTATAATTATACGTTCGAAGGTACTGTAGATACTGGTAAAAATAAACGACTCGGTTTGCTTGGAAAGGGTTTTACATATCTTTTCTTTATTTGGTTAGTGAACATAATTATATGTGTCCTCAAATAACAATTAATGCTTACAACAGTTTAGGCTTTGTAAATGTTTTATTTCTCCTGCCGTGTTTGTTACTACAGTACTGTCTAGAAATAAGTAGCTAAATTGACGCGAAGCGTACCCAGTCTCTTTTTCCTTGCTCGAAAAAGTAAATGCAGGGATCGATGATCCAAAAACAGGTCAAAGCTAATTGCTTTTCAGTTCGGCCAAGAATAACGTACCTATGCGCTTAAATAGGATTAGTCTGACCAATTCTATTTTGAAGGTGATAAATTTTAATGAATAGGAAATAATTATTATGTGAATATGCAAATTATTCCCGTTACGGCCTTGAAGCCATGCCTAAGTGAGCTCTTTATAGACTTCGTTGAAAAATTCAATGAACTTGTTTTTTAGCAGCAAACGGCAGCTGAAACAACTTCCTTAATTCGCCAAACTGCGTATTCCGTCTGTAATAAAAAATAACGCAGAGTCGAACAATACAAGATCTTTTTACATTATTATCCTTACTTCAAACCAATCAGGGATGACCGACAGCAGTTTGTCCAACTGGAAAGAATTCCTTAAGCGGTTGAATTTATCCTACGGAATTATGATAATTTTCATCGCTTTTTTTATTATTTTGGGAAGTACTTTGGTCTTGATTGTGACATGGAGAGGAAGAAGTCTTCATCAACCAAATAAGTATTTTATTGCTTTTCTAACTGTAGCTGATCT